CATTAAAAAACGTTCAAGTAAAATATTATTCAGGCTCCTTCTTGGTGAATCGTCCCAATGGGGGGAGGCGTCAGCACAGAGTTGTGTAGGCTTGCGTACAGTACGCAACGCACACCGCGTAAGATACACCCGACCACAAGCCTACACAACTCTGTGCTGACGCCTCCCCCCATTGGGACGATTCACCAAGAAGGAGCCTGAATAATATTTTACTTGAACGTTTTTTAATGTTTTAACTTTAAATTTTAATGTTGACGACTCGGTTTTGAGGGTGGTCTTTTAGATGCAAGTGCTATACCTGCATTCAAGATACTGGGAAATGTTGTGCTTTACACTCCGCTATATGTAATAGTTTCCACGAATAATTACATATTGTGAATGTTGAGCTGTGCCAGTGTTTTCATGGTTTGTTGTAAGTGCCTCTGAATATGGTTCCTTGGAACCGAAACATGTAAGGCAGATGAGATAATTAAGTGATCAAAATATATATTGTTGCACTTGACGGAAAATCTATTGTCAATTAGTGATTGATAGTGTAACGGACCAAAATGAAACAATTCAAAAATGTCATGACTTTGTGCTCCGCCTACGTTTCTGCCATTCCTTCATATACTCTGTAGCGTGCAGACATACAGCTCCTCATACACGAATTTAAGACAACGGGAAACCAACAGCCCTTTTGGACCTGCCAAAAACGAAAATTATAACGTACAATTAAACGCGGTGCTTTCGGTTTGATGTGAAATAAAAAGACAGAAAAAAAGGGAGTTCCAAAGGCTGCCAGAACAATGGGATCTGCATCGGGGCTAGAATGTTAACAGTGTTGTCGAGTGGGGGCAGATGGGCTGATGGAGCACTTGCATAACGGCAGGGACAACCTGACTGCGGTGCCATATCAGCCCTGAAGCTGTACGTACCGGCGGTACTAGTGGCCCTAGCGTCTCCTCCACCTCAGACGGCCGCTGCTGCGTTGCGGGCTGGAGGCTGGGATCTGCAGTCATGCACACTTTCGTGTAAATTGGTTCTAAATTACTGACGGCGAGACCCACACTGCAACGAGCTGATCTGTCCCTGTGGAATGCGGGACAGAAGCTAACAGTCGCCCAGCTGACCAACATATCCGCCGTCGCTTATGGAACCCGAAGGCTCATTACCGCAACTGGTCCCTATCCTGAGCCAGATGACTCCAGTCAACACCCTGATTCTGTAACAGAGTTTTACCATCCCCGCTGACGGTCCGTCGCCCTCCCGGGGCGTCTCGCGTCACATGGTCCAGCCGCGCTCCCGAGTCATCACAGTTCAACGTCTACCCATCTGTTGACGTCATCTGATTCTCATTCTCCGGCTGTCCACGTGGCTCTTGGCCTTCGTCGGCGATTCCTGTCTGGCTGGGTTTTGAAGTATCACCGAAGTGGAGGCCTCGTCCGCCCATCTTGACTAGCATATCCCTGGTATTCTTCAGTCACGTCAGGTTTAGACGCAGCCTCCCAAATCCTTACTATCTCTGTCATTTTGTGCAGTTGTTGAAACGTTATTAAATAAGCCGATACACACTGAATGTTCTGCAGTTCGGCCGACTTGCATATAGTCCGCTGACACACGCCACAGCGAAGTCCTTGAAAGCCCACACAACTATCGTGTGCAGTCAATTGACGGCACATAGCATCAGCAGCTGATACACTGTGAACTACGAAGGGAAGAGACAGCTTGCTAGACCTAGACTATGTGGGACGATAATCATGAGTGCCGCCAGGATTTGTTTACAAACGTACGTGTTAACTGTTTAAGGATATTCTTACCGACTGCCCAGGGACTGAAACATAGATACCGTCACATTTAAAAATAATTTGAATTACTGACGTTAATATTTCATACATCTACTTCATTTTTCAATTTTCATTTCTCCAAAATCCGTAGGTAGGGCGCTCGCTTACTGCCTTTCTTGTCATGCCCCATGAGCATAATATTGAAATGGATAGTAAATTAAAAGGGTGTGAGGCTGTGAACTGAATTCATCTGGCTCAGGATAGGGGACAGTGGTGGGCTCTTGTGAACAGAGCATTGAAACTTCATACTCCAAAAAAGAATGAAAATTTCTTGACCAGCTGAGCGACGATCAGCTTCGGCTTCCGTGATTGCAACGCGAGGACGCTGGAGACTGGAGCAGCATCCACCTACGGAAGGACCGACGCACAGCAATGGGACGCGCTGGATGTTTGAAAATGAAGGGCGCAGATGATAATGGGGTTTGCGCTTCGCTATTGACCAAACTTCGTAAGATGAGACATCCAGCACGAGCTTGGCGCACAGCATGGGTTGCACGAAGTTTCAAAGGAAAAGTGGACACGGAAGGACAGACATGGCCTCGACATGCACTGGCTAAAGGGCGTACACAGTTTGTAAACGACAGAAAGCTGATGCAACTTTCAAGTGACTGGTCAATGACTGAGACTCCTGGACCAGTGTAGCTCGTGTGACTCCGTGATGTTTCCTGAAAGCCTGAGATCCGGTAATTACTGACATATACCATTACACCACAATGTAGATATCTTATATTTACGGCCTATCGGTGATAAGGTTAGAAGATTGTCCTTGCGAGTCAGACGCCAGAGAAGCTGACAGTGATACAGATAGTTCAGTACTTACTCAGCCTGTCTGCATTCATACGGCGGTCTGAGACCCATACGGTAAATGGAAGCAGCGTGCAGTGTGTTGGGCGGTCGCGCCGTAGCTCAAGCGGTTAGTCGCTGGCTTCCCACCGCGGCGGCCCGGGTTCGATCCCGGGTCTGGTCAAGTGGGATTTGTGGTGGACAAAGTGGCGCTGGGGCAGGTTTTCTCCGAGTACTTCGGTTTCCCCTGTCAATCTTCATTCCACCAATTGCTCCACAATCACCCTCACCTATCATCTGGGGCTGGTACAATAGGCCAGAAGTGGCCGCAGTGCAAGGGACTTAGTCCCACCCCACTAGCAATAAAAAAAGTGTGTTGTGGGCAACTCTCTTGTTGCAGAACCCAAAGGTTCAATACCGCTAATACCAAAGCCCGCCTTTGGACACGATCCTGAGCCAGTTCAATCCACTTCCCATCCTCAAAATTTCTTATTGCAAGACTTAACTTTATCTGTGAACTTCCTCCTGGCCGTTAAAACAGAAACTTGCGGGGAAGGTTCGCATCAAAACTTGGTTTTCACTTCTTCTCTCCTCAGGCGAGTTGCACTCCCACCCCACTACATGCTTCTTTACCACACTGCCTTAGCAACGCAGAATTGCCTAGACAAATCGGGCTCACCTGATTAATTCCTGTTAGGCCCACAGAACTTTGTGCTTTGTGAAATTAGTTTCGTATATACGTCCATCGGAATCACGTAGTATCTTAGTTGGCACTATGCTACAAGCCGGAAGATCGCGGGTTCGATTCCTAATGAGGTCGTTGTTTTTTTTTCAGTTGATCTAATCCTTCCAGCCGCACTATGGCCCTTGGGTCGACTCAGCCTCTAACAGAAATAAGTACGAAGAATTGTCCTGGGGGTAAAGGGCGGCCAGCGCGCAAGGCTGACCTCACCGCCATCTGTGAGCCGATTGTCTAGAAAATGTGGGAGCCTCGACGTCTCACAACCCTATGGGCCTCCACAGCCCTGTTACAGGGACAGTTTTACTTTTTATATGCGTCCTTCACAGACAGAGAGTAACTAATTCCATGGAGGTGAGTCAATAAACAGTGAACCTGCACTGTGCTCATCTGCTTTGCAACATGTGCTGGGCCGTGTGCCTAGTTCTGAGGGGCCCGCCCACCCCTGCCAACAGCCCAGATAACCGCCCAAGTGGCGCCAATAGAAACACAGGAAACGTGTGCAGTATGTGAGGTGACACAGAATGCGATGCTCATCTAAGTCCACTACCTAGCTCACAGAAAACAAAACAGACTCAAATATTAATACAAACAAAATGTTTAGAAATATGTTGTTACGTTCAGTAGATGAATTTTCCGGCTGCCCTTTCCCTGGGGTCACAATACCTTTGTGTGAGCAACGAGTACAAACTGACGCATTTTGCAGCGGAACCGTCGAAACTGGGCGCACCATTATTAACCAGAGATTCTACACGACTTTCTTGTTTCCCCCAGCCTGTCCGCCAGGCCCCCATACACCCAAGAACGTGGCATTATACTCACAAGGCTGAGCGAAGGCGATGACGCGCTCCGTCCGTGCGTGGTAGTCGTCCTCCTCCTCCTGCACGACGCTTCCCGGCTTGAAGGAGCCCGTCGCCCGGACAGGCTCGTCGCCCTGCATCCCGGGCACCCCTTGTTGCTGCTCGTATATCTGCAGCAAGTGATGGAGCGGCGGGATCTTGGGCAGCTGCCTCCCCGTGGTGTTGGGGGCGTGCTTCATGCCCAGCTTGCTCAGGATCTCCTCCTTGATGGTCTGTAGGCTCAAGTTCCGCAGGCCCTCACGGAATATGCACGACTGGCAGCCCGGAAGAGGCGTCGTCACTTCGTCCTCAGTCTCGTTGACGGCCAAGTGCTCCTGGTCGGGGTGCCTGTCCCTCCTCCTGACAAGCCGACTTCCCAACTTCAGACTACTGTAGAGGCTGGTCGTGTTTGCGAACGGGGACGTCGCGACGCCGGTGTCACTGTTTCCCCCCGCGAGGACGGGGCTCACACACCAACACACCAGGACAAGAAGCACTGTAACCACACATATACCCCCACAACTGTCTGTGGCAGGCGTCTTTTTCCGTTGCCTGCGACGCCTCGCGGTTGCCTCTTCGTCATCGTCCTCCTTGTCGAGGTGTCTCATGGCGGCCCGCGTCACTTCCGGATGGAGTCTGTCCCGCTGCGCCGTCATGCCAGCTCGCTGACCGCCACACAACTGCAGATGATAGGGGAGAGCCCGGCGGAGGGGGCAGCAGATAGCGAGAGGTGGGAGGGGGAGTCCCTGCTGCCACTTTTTAATTGCGGCAAGGTGCGCCTCTGCGCCAGTTGATAAGACGCGAGCAAGGTGGGTCGGCTGCTCGGATAGTGGCCGACGGTGGCACGCCTGCCGCCCTTTATATACGTGATTGCCGACCTAGCAGCTCCCTCCCCGCGCGCGATGCCAGCCACACCGCCTCGCTGCAACAGTGGCACACACAATTTTACACCAAACCGATCAAAAATCGTACTTGAAATGTCCTCTCAGACTTACGTCACGACGGAAGTGAGTCTTCGCACGAAACAAGACGTGTGCTCTAGACCCGACGCGAGCCCGTGAAGGTGACACAGATGTCGCAATCGGAAAGGGGGGGGAACTGTCCTCGCAGGGATTTGAACACGCAACCTCAGCGGCCTGTCGCAGTGCCACCAGTAATTGTTTCTGGCTTCTTCCCCAGTCAGCGGCCGCTGTCACTGTCGGTTGCTCGAAGTACTATCCGGGAATTTGACTCTAGGTTCTGAGAAAAACCACGTCAAACCTCACTCAGGATAGCCGATGTTCCGGCTGAGATTCGAAGCGAGTACCTCCCGAATTTTAGCGCTAAGCTAACCCGATCGGTGAGCAGACTGTTCGAGGGAGGGGGAGCAATGAGATGGGCAGAGTGTTTAGCAGGAATGGAGATGAGAAACGCGTTAGGGAAGCAATGTGTGGACTGGTCTCAGCTGGCTCACGAAAGGTTCCACCGGCGGGCTCTTGTGAATACGGTAATTTCTTGACCAAGTGAGTAACTGTGAGCTTCTCAAGAAGGAATGAGGTCTGACGCCGTGCTGTCTCGATTACAAGGCTCTATCCGGCCCGTGCAGACGAAAGCGAGCCTGCCTTGTTGAGCCCTCATATTGCAGTGGGTCCCGAGTTCGACAATACATTCTGTCGCAAAGGAATTCAGTAACGACTTGACGTAAGTCGCTAGCATTGTAATCACCAGAACTCGCAGACGGGCCCTACTTGACAGGGCAACAGTCGCTTAGGTACGCAAGACAATCCTCGCCTTCTGCGGAGCCATACGGTTCATTACCGTGTTCACAACAGCCCTCTACCAGCACCTATTCTGAATCAGATTCAGTTAACAAATTCCCTGCCCATTTCTCTATGACCCGTTTTAATATTATCCCCTCGTCTATGCATACATCTAGCGTTAGGTATCCTCTTCCTCCTCCTTCACTTGATCGCCCTAACAGTGAGTTAGCGGCACCTGTCCTCTCGCTGGCTTGTATCTCGCAGTGACTCGAACCGAGCACCTCCCGATGCGTCGTTAAATAACAACCCTCCCGACGTGGCGAGACTCGAAGGAAGGAACCAGACCAATGAGAAGGCTTTCGGGCAGGGCACTGTCAAGAGTAACCTGAGTGGGGCTAGAACCCGCGACTCCTATGCACCAACGTTACAGACCTCGGCAGTCGCACAAAGATAGGCGACTACGCGTGCTGGAGTTGCGTGTTACAATTTGTGTACCTACACGTGTGTTAAAGTCATGGGAATCAACATGTGTTACAATTACGTGGCGAAACACGTGTAAAAGTCATGTACCTACACGCGTGTTAAAGTTATGGGAATCAACATGTGTTAAAATTACGTGGCGAAACACGTGTAAAAGTCATGTACCTACACGCGTGTTAAAGTTATGGGAATCAACATGTGTTAAAATTACGTGGCGAAACACGTGTAAAAGTCATGTACCTACACGCGTGTTAAAGTTATGGAAATCAACGTGTGTTAAAATTACGTGGCGAAACACGTGTAAAAGTCATGTACCTACACGCGTGTTAAAGTTATGGGAATCAACATGTGTTAAAATTACGTGGCGAAACACGTGTAAAAGTCATGTACCTCTACGCGTGTTAACGTTATGTGACTAAAAGCTCGATAAAGTTACACCCTAAACATGTGTTAAAATTACAGTTAAAATGACGTGACTAAATACATGATAAATTCATATCACTAAACATGTGTTAAAGTTACGTAACTGCACACGTGTTAAAGTCACGTAACTGAACAGGTGTTGAAGTCATGTAACTTAAATATGTGTTAAATTTACGTGATTAAAATGTGTCAGAGCTACGTGATTAGAACGTGTTAAATTTACGAGACTAAACAAATGTTAAGGTTACGTGATTAACACATTCCAAAGTCACGCCACTAAATGTGATTCAGAAGTCAGGATTACGGACGGAAGAGCTGCGCTTCCATGTGAGAATATGCCCGCCCGATCTCGGCTGTTGCACACGGTTACTGATCGACGGTTCGAGTCCAGACGGGAAAACATGCATTTGTCCGCCTTTTGGGGGCGTTCGCAACAAAAATTTTCAACAATATGTCCAATTAGGTGCGCAATGTCTGTCTGACCTTTCATCTGCCGCATATAATAATCCGAGGACCACTCGACGGATTTTCCTGAAATTTGGCACTGAGGAGCTTTGGTGGAATTTGTTGACATGCTTCGGTTTTGACTACTATCAGGAAAAAGTAAGAGACATTTGACACGCAGCCACACCAGTCGCTAAAGGGTTATCTGAGCGGGAAATGTTCCGGACAGAAGATGTTGCCACTAAGAGAAGAAATGCATTTCAGTTACAAAACGTCAATATCCCCGAGATAGTTATACAAACGTGAGTGAACACACCCGAAGTGTGTACGTTACGTAAACAACTCTTAACTTGCTCTGTATAGTCCTGTAAGAGCACAGACTGATCCCCTACATATGGCATGTCCAGAAAGTGGATTGAAATAACTCAGAGCGTCTCGTGTTCACAATAGCGGAGTTTTGCGCTGCCCGCTGAATTGCCTAATGTGGTATGAACCGAGAGAGGGAGTCCTGGGTTGGTGCTTGAAGCCAGTTCGGAAGGTATGAACCTTAAGGCAGGTTGCCCCGAAGCGGGGGCGGACACGCGCACTTCGTGAAGGGGCTCCAAAATTAAACCCTTCTGAAGACACTTTATGCTTATATTAATAACTCCAGTCTCCCCTCACCTCACAGCCAACAAAGGTCCGTGACCAAAGTCAATTTATTTATTTATTTATTCGTTCACTTATACATTCATTCATAAATTTCATGAACATTCGTTGGTTAGTACACAGCACTAACAGCCATTCTGCAATAGTGGTATTAGTTCAGGAAAATGTCCACACGTCTCCTCAAGTCTTCTGCGCGCATGAGCAGAAGCCCCTAATGTTTTTCGGGTAACCGAATGTTGCATGAAAGTATACAGATTTATTTCGTCGTATAATTTAATCATTTGAAGCTTGAATGAGAGAGGCAAGAAAGAACAGTTGAGGAGAATATGAACGGAAAAGTCACGCGGGGGGGGGGGAGAAAAATCATAATTTGTTACAATGTCCTAAGGTTTCGCCCGCTTGTCCTTCTCATAAAGACAATGAGAAAATGAAGACGTCAGAATACCTAAACACCCCATCCGTACCTCACAGGAAACACACTCCATCTCAATAATAAAGCCCAGCCAGTGAGAACCATACGGAACACACAGATACACTGTGTGGGCACAATATATAGCAATTCAGTCCGTACCTCACAGGAAACACATCACGTCTCCACTACAAAGCCCAGCCAGTTAATGCTGTTTAGGGAAAGAGCCACTGTTTACTGTGAGAATCATACGGAACACACAGACACACTCTGTGGGCAGAATGCAGAGTTTTGCTAACCTTAGGGCAAGCGGTAGACATAGTTACCGCTCTGCCTGAAAGTGTTAAATGGAACTGAATATTATACAAGTACGTTGTTTCGATTTAATTTGGCCACTCTTCTTTACCTTGCCGTAGAAGAAATTAGTGGAAACAACAAAACAAAACAAAACACTGTCTGTCCACAGGAACGAGACTCGTTGGCGGCGGCCAGGGTTCAAGTCCTCTCTATGTACGTACATACGGGATCTGTAACAATGTTTATGTAATGGGAACTTGGCTAGATGAATATGTAAGGGCACAACAGGTGCCATCTGCTGGTGTTGAGAAGGCAGTGGGCCAGAAAGTGTTTGTGTGATAATGGACTGAGCTACACAACAGCACACAGTTCGACGTGCTTACTATGTACTGCATTATGCAGTACACTCTTTCCAATCTTGTTTCGCCACCCCCACCCCCACCCCTCCCCTCCTTTCATTGCAAACACGATTCCTTGACCGAGCGATTACCAACGGCTTATCTCTGTTGCTAGTTCCATATCTCCCCTATCAACCTCCCCGAAAATAAATCAGAAAAATCACAGAATATTTCTGTTAAATGCTAACAATCCTACTTCATACTCAAGAGGCATCAGGTTCGAATCTCGACCCAGAGGGTTGCTCCTTCAATTCCTGCGCGCAAATCCCGCCATAACACAATAACGTGAAGGCGGCCACTTCGCCTCATTCGGGTTCGAATCTCGACCCAGAGGGTTGCTCCTTCAATTCCTGCGCGCAAATCCCGCCATAACACAATAACGTGAAGGCGGCCACTTCGCCTCATTCGGGTTCGAATCTCGACCCAGAGGGTTGCTCCTTCAATTCCTGCGCGCAAATCCCGCCATAACACAATAACGTGAAGGCGGCCACTTCGCCTCATTCGGGCGCCTGAGGTGGCAGTTGGTAAGACGTCGTCGAATCAGTCTCTGATGACGTTCGGTTCGGGAGCCGACGGCGGTGCCTAGGAACACTGCCGTATTTGGATCCTGGTAGAAACTGTTCTCACCATCTTAGGCCAGGTGTCTGCTTGCCCCTCGCTTGGCTTATTCTTCTACCCTGAAGACGCAGGCAGTATGTTCTTCTGAAACGTTGAACTTCTACCAAACTATACGGCGTCACATCCCAAAATGAGGTTTTCCTCAGCCTGCAGCACTTTTTCACTTTGGTGTCCGATCCATAGACACAACTGCGATTACGGGTCGGCTTATGGCGGCCGCTCTAAGGAGCCACACCAGAGAGCATCAGGTTCACGTGGCCTATCAGACTGAGCTGATTTCCTGGCCAAGACTCGAACCGAGGACCTCCAGAATATGACTCAAGAGCGTTACCGCCATGTCAGCCTTCTCACTGCACTTGTGACAGTACATGGCTAGGAGTTAGCAAGAGATGACACCAGTGGAAG